TTGACTTTATATTTTGTATCTGTTTCTGTTCTTGACAATATTTTAAATGAGTTTCAAATATCGATCCACTTTTCGTATAAATAATTAATTTTATTCCCATTTGAAACAACAGAATCATAATGATAAATAATGAAATCGAATTATTGTTACCATAGGAACGCTTTTCGATTTTTAGGACTTTGAACCATATTTTCATGTTTTTCTTAACTTTATCTAAAACGGTATGGAAATTTGGAAAGTATAAACGGGATTAACCGTTTTAGAACAAGCATAAAGTTTTATGAAGAATGCATTTTTCTCAAAATGTCAAGCGTGTCAAATGTCAGTTTTTCCCCTTGTAAAAACAATCCGGGGACATACTGTATACTGTATAGTGTTTTATCATTATATCCGTGCAAGAATGTTTAATAAAATGCAACTAAACACTAATGTAATTCAACGTTTTATCCATGTATCGCCGCCGGATTGTCTTTACAAGAGGAAAAAACTTTTTTACTGTTGACACACATTTTGAGAAAAATGCATTCTTCATAAAAATTGACATTCTTTTTTTAAAAAAGTCAATAATAAAAATTATTTAAAAAAAAATTGCAAAAAATCAAATTTCGTTTTCATTCTTTGATAGATTGTTATTGATTTTTATTAAAATCATATTTTTGGTGTTTTGAAATGATAAAGAATCACAAAATTTATTTAATTCAATGCCATGGAAAGGGTGATAATAGTTATCGGAAAATCTGACTTTAGCAATCGCAAAAAAATGACGTTAATCAAAGTTAATAATAACCACAATATCAAAGAATGAAATCGAAATTGTATTACCATAGAAACGCCATTTCAGTTCTAAGACTTCTTCTAGGAATAATTCGACCATAGTTTCATGTTTTCTTTTAATCTTTTAACGTATATATTTAGTTAAAATGATGAAAATTTGATAGGAAATATTAGCAGCAAACATTATTTTTAAAAATCGAATAGCGTTTTTCGTTATGGTAACCATGGTAACTAGGTATAGCACTAATACAAACAAAAACTTGATAAAAGTAAAATTCGGAGCTTGCGTCATAAGAGTTTGTAATTTTTTTTTTATTAAAACCACCGATAATTATACAGGGTGTTTCAAAACAAATGCGAAAAACTTCAGGGGGTGATTCCTTGTTCAAAATAAAGGGTAGTTTGCTTTATAAACGTTTGGTCAAAAGTCAAGCATTAGGGAGATATCGCGGTACAAAGATGGCGGAAAAATAAGGTTTTTATTTTTTATCTTGAAAACGAAAAGAGATAGACTAATAAAATTTTATGGAAGCATTACTGTTATGAAAACACACTTTCTGGTAATTTTTTCACTTTTTTAAAATGAGTGACGGGGTTGAAATAAACTACCCCTATCATTCTTGTTAACGAAATTTAAAGAAAAATCTTATCAAATACATGCAAAAAAATTAATTTGGATAGTTTAGTTTGTTTAGAAACTTTTTTATCTCTGGTATTTTTTTGATAAACCGATTTGAAATTAAAAAATAAAATGTAAAGCATTACATGTCAGGACAAAAAACATTTTCTGATAAAGAATCTAGTGGGCCGCTGTTACTTTTTAGGATGTTCCTAATATTATTTTATTTGACATTACTCTACTGCAATACGTTATTATCTAGATGATTATTATTATCGTTATTATCACTAGATTCTTAATCTAAAAATGTTTTTTGTCCTGACATGTAATGCTTTACATTTTATTTTTTTAATTTCCAATCGGTGAGTTTTATCAAAAAAATACAAGAGGTAAAAAAGTTTCTAAACAAACCAAACTATCCAAATTAATTTTTTTTGCATGTGTTTGATAAGATTTTTCTTTAAATTTCGTTAACAAGAATGATAGGGGTAGTTAATTTCAACCCCTTCCACTCATTTTAAAAAAGTAAAAAAAATTACCTGAAAGTGTGTTTTCATAACAGTAATGCTTCCATAAAATTTCATTAGTCTATCTCTTTTCGTTTTCAAGATAAAAAATAAAAACATTATTTTTTCGCCATCTTTGTACCGCGATATCTCCCTAATGGTTGACTTTTGACCCAACGTTTATAAAGCAAACTACCCTTTATTTTGAACAAGGAATCACCCCCTAAAGTTTTTCGCATTTGTTTTGAAACACCCTGTATATACAAGAAGATGATGGTATTCTCTGCGGTGAATTTGGCGGAAGCTCAAGAAACAACTACTCCTTTACTGCCTGCGAAGTCTAGGGAACATTACAAAAAAATGTATTTTTAGTTTCAATATTCCACTGATGGAATAAAGTTATTTTATCTCACTAATTGATACAATATCACTTTAAATGCTTAATTTTGGATGGATAAAACTTTCGGTAGGTAGGTATTGTATGATTGTAGATAAATGTAATTTATTGTTTCTTGGGCCTATAAATTTAGGCCTCGATTTAGGCGAATAAAACTGATATTAATCATATATCTACAATAATAATTAATACTTATTTTTTTGCTGCTTTTCTAACTCATTTTTAAGTAACAAATTAAACATTTTAGAACTCTAATAACTTATTAATTTTGATATACTTTATTTATTCTGCATCTGACTACCAAAAACTTTCATATGTATTATTTATGATTTAATGTTAACAGAGATAATTAAATGTAACAGGAACTTGTTTAGCTTAATGTAAATTTGTGTCACTGCCTGTTGGTTTAATTTTTTGAACTATATTATGTTTGGCTTTCCGTCAAGAAATACAACTAATAACATTAAAGGAGACAAATAATTTCTTTCATTGTCTGTAGTTTATTGTAAAGCATCATTCATTTTTATTAGTCATATTTAATTGAGTCAAAATTAGGTTGATTTATTTCTTTTTTTATTAATTAAAATACCTATTAATAACTTCTTCATAAGCCTTGATTTTATTTTAAAATTGGCCCAAAATAAAAGACCGATAATTCATAAATTACCAAATTTTATTTACGATATAAAAATACCATATCTATTAAATATTACAATTTATAGCAGTCTATTTACTAAAAAAATCACAGTCAAGTTGATATGTACATATACTTTTTAACCACACTTCAATCAACAATTGGAACTTTAGTTTCGGAGATATTCATTTAATCGGACCTTTTTAAAAAAATTAATTTTATTTTTCAGAAACTATTAGAGACAGAGTTTACCAAAAATGCTTTTTATAACTACTAGTGGGTAAATGAATTTCTAGATATATTACGAATTTTTTTGGAACTTTAGTTTCGGAGATATTCATTTAATCGGACATTTTTAAAAAATAATTTTATTTTTCAGAAACTATTAGAGACAGAGTTTACCAAAAATGCTTTTTATAACTACTAGCGGGTAAATGAATTTCTAGATATATTACGAATTTTTTTGGAACTTTAGTTTCGGAGATATTCATTTAATCGGACATTTTTAAAAAAAAATAATTTTATTTTTCAGAAACTATTAGAGACAGAGTTTACCAAAAATGCTTTTTATAACTACTAGTGGGTAAATGAATTTCTAGATATATTACGAATTTTTTTGGAACTTTTGTTTCGGAGATATTCATTTAATCGGACATTTTTAAAAAAATAATTTTATTTTTCAGAAACTATTAGAGACAGAGTTTACCAAAAATGCTTTTTATAACTACTAGTGGGTAAATGAATTTCTAGATATATTACGATTTTTTTTGGAACTTTAGTTTCGGAGATATTCATTTAACATTGGACAGTTTCCGCCGGCTAACACAACAGACACATACCATTAAAATCTAGTGCTATAGTTTCACTGTTACACCCAGTATTATTTTTCAGACAAATTTAAAGTCCCTAACTTGTCAATCTTATTAAAGGTACTTACGAAGGGATTAGCTTAACAATTTTACCAGAGTGCTGCTCCAATTTTTAAGAGTGCTACAATTTCTCGAGACATCTCGAATTGGTCAGCATTTCTCTGGTCAGTCTCCATAGCTGTTTAGCCGCACTCTCCAAAGCACTGAGCGATTTTTCTTTGAACAAGTAGGAATTTTCTTCTAAAAGAAAGGGTAAAAACTTCTTCTGCATTGAAGACAGGAGATCAGCTGATGAAATAGCCCGTTGATTCTGCCTGTCTGCTATACAGGCTTCATTCCATTTGCTTTCAAGGGGATGTTTTTCGCATTCGTAGAGTAAGAGGGTTTGTAAGAGTGGTATCTAGTAACCGGGTTGCCGGGTAGGTAAATCCAGATGTCAATTTATTAAAGTTTTGAGTAATGGTCAAATATCTTTTACGGGGAATCCTTCTTGAGGGCCAGTGTGCCGCAAATATGGGCCAGAGCTCTGTATACTTAAAAGGTGGAGATATCTGGCACCCTCTGCACGACATAATGTTTCGGGATGCGCAGCTTTACTTTGGTAATATCAGCAGTCATTTGCACTGAGTCTCTGTAAGAACATTGCACTGGTTTTCTAACACATTTTCTATTTATTAGAAATTAAAAAAGAAAAGATACTTCTAATAATAAATTGAACTTTTCACAATGCTAATAACTTATAATTTTTATATACTTTTTTATTTTGCTTCTGACTACCAAAACACATTCAACTTTCTTGTGCAGGTAAATTAATATTAACAGTAGATAATAAATTGTAACAGGTACGTGTTTTGCGTAATGTAAGTAATTTGTATCACTGCATGTTGGTTTCATTTTTTCACCTATATTTTGTTTGGCTTTTGTCAAAAAAGTCAACTAATAAGTTTAAAAGAGATAAATAATTAGCTTCATTGTTCATAGTTTATTGTAAAAATTATTATTTTTCATTAAAATTGACTTTAAATAAATTCCAAAAAAGGCCAAGTCAAAATTTGGTTGATTCATTTCTGCTAAAATTTTAAGTCATATAATAGGAGTTTGGATTGGAATTATAAATTGTTTTTTTTTCTGTTCCATTTGAGTATATTAATAACTTCTTTATTTTTAAATTTGTCAAAAATAAAAGACCGATATTCATAAATTACCAAATTTTATTAACATTGTATTTACGATATAAAAATACCATACCTATAAAACATTACAATTTAAAGCAGTCTATGTACTAACAAAATCACAGTCAAATTGATATATACCTATACTTCTTAACCACACGAACTACTTTAACATTGGATAGCACGCGTCTCCGACGGCTAAACACAACAGACACATACCATTACAATCTAGTGCTATAGTTTAACTGTTACGCACAGTATTATTTTTCACACAAATTTATAGTCCCTAACTTGTCAATCTTATTAAAGGTACTTACGGGGGGACTAGCTTAACAATTTTACTAAGAGTGCTACAATTTCTCGAAACACCTCGAATTGGTCAGCATTTCTCTGGTCAGTCTCCATACTTGTTTAGCCGCGTTCTCCAGAGCACTGGGCGATTTTCCTTTGAACAAGTCCATATTTGGTAGGAAATAGTGAGGACATCTTCTGCATTGAAGACAGGATATGAGCTGAAGAAATATCCCGTTGATTCTGTCTGCTATACAGGCTTCACTCCACTCGCTTTCAAGGGGATGTTTCTCGCATTCGTACAGTAAGAGGGTTTTCATATGGTAGCTCGTAACTGGGTTGCCAGGTAAGTCTAGATGTCGATCTCTTAGCGTTTTGAGTATACTCAAACACCTTTTACGGAATCCTCCTTGGAGGAGTCTGTTCTCGGCTTCTAAAAAGGACAGAACCCAGGCGTCTCCCTCCATGGCTGATTGTTTTCCTTGCAAGGCAATGCACTCTTTGGATAACAAGTCGAAACCTTCCGTTTTCACTTCTACGACTAAGTTTGGATGGGGCCAAGGTATGTGGGACAAGGGCCAGTGTGCTGCAGATCTCGGCCAGAGTCCCGTGCACTTAAAAGCTGGAGTTATTTGTACGACGTAACGTTCCCTGATGCGCAGCTTCACTTCGGTAGTATCGGCGATCATTTTAACTGAGTCTCTGTAGGAACACTTGTCGCAAGCTTGCGCTACTAACGTTTGGAACCTGGAACGCATTTTCCGAGCTGATAAATAACCTGAAGCCGTTATGAACTCGACCCACAGGGACATGGAACGCTTTCTTCCGTCGCTTAGTTTCAGTACGGCGCACCCTGGTAACGTTCCGTCGTCGACGAAATTCAGTACTCCCATTTGGTTTAAGTAGAGGACCACTTCGAACTCTGTAGGTGAAATAACCTCCAAACCTTCATAACGTCCGTTGTAATCGGTTAGAGATGATATAAACCTAGGTTCCTGAACTTCAACCTCTTTAAGAACGTCCTGAACGACGCGACACACTTCCTGGATCGTTTTTGCACTGGTTAGTTTGCGGGACTGAACCTTTTCGGTGTAGTACTTGTTTAACTGATATACCATCTTGGATTGCGCCGCTAGCATATCGGGCGGTACCAGCATGTTTGCCGATGGAGGGCTGCTAGAGCCGCGTTTTTCAGCAGGAGCCACGGTGAGAAACGTAATAATGACTAAGTAAACCGAATCGGTACTAAATAAACCAAGGAGCACACGCACAAACAAAGATCGACCGTAGGCTACGACGACATACTGGCCTGGCCAGGATCGGCGTCTGTGCCAGGTTAGTATGGCCCCACCTCCATTGGGCAGGCGCGAAATCCTGCTTGGCTCCGCCCCAAGCAAGCCCCTAGCAACCAATAGGATGGCGTCGTTGTCGCAGTGTTTGGTTAATAATCGGAGGCCGAGTGACAGCACGCTGTCGGTTTTGATGAAAGCCGACGTGGATTTTGACTGTTTTTTTTTTCTGGCGGGTAGCGGTAGTATTAGGGGAGCTAGGGCACCATACGGCAAACGTTTGCTAATGAATATGTTTGTTTTGGGTGAGTTGATTTTAAATGAGATACCTACAGTAGGTATGTCCCCTAATCGATTTTACTAGAGAAATTTTTTTATTATTAATATTTAAAAAAAATATTTTTTAAAAAATGTTTTGTTTGTTCTACAGGATTGTTCACCACATACGACATGGAGTATTGTAGCTAAACGATTATATTTTTACTGATTTCAAGTTTTGGGTTCGATGTAGGACTATTAGAGGTACAATTTAAAAATAATTTTACAAGATACAGAGTATCCCAAATAAGTAAAAAATATCAAAGTTGTTTTTTTTTAAATGGAACACCCTGTATATTATTACATTTTTAGTTTCTACGATTAAAATAAAGGTAAATTTGATTAAGGTTTTTTATACTTAAACCTTACCGTTTTTGAAATATTTTCAATTTTGTGAAATTGCAGTAAAAATTTTAAGGCTTCATTTCTCCAAGGGTATCAAAGTTTTCAATACTAAATATCTACTGAAGTTTATTTAATTATCAGTTATTGTGTTGCAATAATAAAAATAATACTACCTTATACAGAGTGTCTAAAAATTTATTTTAAATAATTGTCTGTCATTTTAATTTCAAAGTAGTTTATTTTATTTTACAAAGAAATAAGTTGGTACAACTGGAACGCATAGCAGGAAACTCTGGCAGGAAATATTTAAAATTTGATTGACAAGATGACAAGTGATTACTTCAAAATATTGTGAAAAAAACTGTATAAAACTGAAAAAAATGTAATCGAGTTATTTTATTTAATAAAACCGGTATGTATCGATATACCCATGGAATATTGATATTTGAGATTGTTTAAAGCAACAAATGTACAAAATGTACAGGCTAGTAATATTATTATCGTTTTTAGCAAAACGATAATATTACTAGCCCATTTGTATGCAAAAAGAAAACTAATTAAATCTTTATAAAAGAGTATACCATTAATTAAATATAACACCATTATTTCCGCACATATACTAATTAATTACATACTTAATTGTGTTCGTTAATAAATTATTCTAAATAAATGTGGATTTGAGTCAGAAATCGATATAATAATAAGTTATCACAATTAAAGTCTCTGTTGTTATAAATAAGCATTTATTAAAAAATGAAATATCATTTTTAAGGTGTTACTTTTTATCACACTTTCTAATACCCATACAAAATTCAGTTTTTTAGTATTTGGAGCAATTATTATTAATCAACGCAAACAGTAAGTTCATGTAGTTTGAATACTGGAATCATATTAATTGGTCCTCTTTAACAAATATTTAAACAGTTTTTTTTATTTTTTTAATGAAATAAACGAATTATATCGACAATATTAGTATCTGTACTCTTTAAAAAGTTGGTACATCTTTAAAAACAATCTCAAATGTCAATATTCCGTGGGTATATTGATAAATGAGGTCTAAATTATAAGAAAATGCATTTTCTACGAAAACTTGAAGGGATAGGTAAAAAATGATATAACACAATTTGATAGACAATTAAATTGTGCATCTGATTCTCCTAAAATATACAGGGCGTTCCATTTAAATTAAACAAGTTATTGCCGTTTGAAGCTAATAATTATTTAAAATAAATTTTTAGACACTCTGTATAAGGTAGTATTATTTTTATTATTGCAACACAATAACTGATAATTAAATAAACTTCAGTAGATATTTAGTATTGAAAACTTTGATACCCTTGGAGAAATGAAGCCTTAAAATTTTTACTGCAATTTCACAAAATTGAAAATATTTCAAAAACGGTAAGGTTTAAGTATCATAAACCTTAATCACATTTACCTTTATTTTAATCGTAGAAACTAAAAATGTAATAATATACAGGGTGTTCCATTTAAAAAAAATACAACTTAGATATTTTTTACTTATTTGGACACTCTGTATCATGTAAAATTATTTTTAAATTGTACCTCTAATACCTTGCTACTCCCAAGGCGTTAAACGCTATATGTATACGAGAGCTATTATTATTATTATATTTTTTGGTATTTTAATATGTTAAAGAAGCACAAAATTTATTTACTTTAATGCTGCGGAAAAGGTGATGATAAATTTTGTGCTTTAATAGTTTAAAATAGCAAAATATGTATATGACATTAATCAACATTAATAATATTTACCTCTCTTTATCAAAGAATGAAAACGAAATTATTTTACCATAAAAACGCGTTTTTATTTTGGAATTTAAAAAAATCAACTAGGTATATTTTTGTATTTTGTTTGTAGTATCTATACTCGTTGATATTCAAATTACCAACCCAACCAACCAACACACTAACTATATTTTGTTTTACACAATTTGCTGATACTAGGCACTATTTTAAACTGAGTTAGGAAGAATAATAACTTAGCTAGTACAACAATTGTGTTTCATATGTTTACAAAATTCAAGTACAATGTTGTAGTTTTTTGTTTTGAAATGTTTTTTCCAGGGTTTTTTCAGTGTAACTATAACAAACATGAATAGTTTATTTGGACTATAGGAAATTAAAATCATTTGGAACTATACGATATTTGGTTTATAGATTCTAGAAAAAAATAAAGGTCAGTTTCATTAATAAAGTTTATTTTCAAAGTATGACGATCACATCAAGTAAATTAAGTTACTCTCATATTTTAATTGGGATACCCTGTATATTAGTTCGGTATTATTTATTACCTTATTTGTGATTATCATTATAAGCAGGTATATTAAAGTTTTGATACGGTTAGGTTTGTACAATATTCATAATTAATAGACTTTATTCTCCCCCCTTGTAATAAAATCACTAATAAAATTTATTCTTAAAAATTACTTATGAATATTTATTCCTAAAGGCATTGTTTATTAAATAATAATTAATTATAAAAACATCTATTTTTTTGTTATATTAGCTTTATCACATTATCTCCACAGTTGTATTGCCATTTTAATCATTTGATATTTGCTTCAGTGTGAAATTATTTTTTCGCTTTGTTCAAATTAATAATCCAAGTAGATTAGGAAATATATCTACGGAAACAGCCTTTTCAGTATGTGTTTACTTTTTGTAAAGAATAATATATATTTATATTTAGAAGAAAAATCAAAACATCAACAAAAGTATTATTTTTTACGAAGTGATTGACAATATAAAAAAGTCATTTTAACGCCATAAAAGTGTGATAAAACACTTTTACGCCGAAGCAAAAAAGTACGAAAATATATTATTAAACTGACATAAGGTGTGAAATTCAACGAGCGTAACCATAGTTTCTCGATATATATATATATATTACATACAAGATATGACTTTTAAATCTTTTTATATTATTTGGAACGTTTGAAATTGTTTAAAAACTTATTTGTGGCGTTTGAAAAAAAAACATGTTCTATTCGGAGTAAAAATTACTTTTTGTGCCTCAGCCATCAAACGTACAGCCTCACGAAAAGTGTCATTTTTACTCCTAATAAAACAATATACCATTGTTACTGATTTTTATTTTAATAATTTATCTATTTAGTGTATTATTGACAATTATTAATATATCTAAAAGTAGTGAAAACATCCGGAAAATATTTTTAGAAAGTATTTGTTTTTCTTTGTTTCAGTATTAGATAAATGTATAGTCATATTAATCACTTTAATTAAACTTATGGGAAAAAGTGTAGCATGGTTTTGAGAATTATGAAAAATATTTGTGGCTATAAAAAGTAATTATTTTTATCCCCATAAAAGTAGATCATTTTTAATTGTGTTTTTGTTTTTAATATTTTTATTTATATTTTATTATGCAATTATTTGTGATAAATTAAATATCAAAAAATATTTGAACTATAATATTAACCGAAATAAATATATTATTTTAGGATTTTCATCTATAGATTTGATTTTTTAGGGTATTTTATGTCATAATAATTAAACAATCAATACTTACAAACTAATTGAAAACATAAATAACATAATTTTATTAAATAATTATTTTATACACATATAATATACAAGAATTATGTTTGCTTGTTTAGGAACAATTCATGCTGACAAAAATAAAGTTTAACCAAATCAACAAATTATTAACAAATTTGATTAAACAACTCAGTCTCGAACTTTTAAATAAATAGTATACAATCATATTAACAATCTTTATACAACAAAAAATATATAGTCTTATTTTATATGAATATAAAAGCACTATAAATTATCAAAATTAAACGAAATATCATACAATACTACTTAAATGCATTTTAATTCAGTCGCTATACATCGAAAGTTTTTTAGTACGGTTTGAGGAAATGGCACATTAAATGTTTCATGGTCTTTTAATACTTTATATCACTAAACTAAAGTTTTTCTAGACATCTACTGTTTGTTAGTAACTCCCTGGTTAACCTCCAAACTTGTTTGGCGGCATTTTCCAAAGCGCTTGGTGATTTTCCTTTAAACAAATCTAAGTTCGGTATAAAATAGTGCGGACACCTTCTGCACTGAAGACACGAAATCAGCTGTAAGTATATGCCATTGATTCTGTCTCCTATACATGATTCATCCCATTCAGATTCTCTAGGATGTTTCTCGCATTCGTATAATAAAAGCGTTTTCAAGTGATAACTACTGACCGGGTTACCTGGTAAATCCAGGTGCCGATCTCTTAGTGTTTTTAGTATGCTCAGGCATCGTCTTCTACAACCTCCCTGAAGCAGCCGGTTTTCTGCTTCCAGAAACGACAGAACCCAAGCATCTCCTTCCATGGAGGACTGTTTTCCTTGGGCGGCAACGCTTTCTTTGCTTAGGAGATCGAAACCTTCCGTTTTTACTTCGGCTACTAGACTGGGATGAGGCCAGGGAATGTGAGGGAGAGGCCAATGAGCCGCTGACCTAGGCCACACTCCGGAACACTTGAAGGCGGGTGTGATTTGAACGACATATCTGTCTCGAATCCGGAGTTTGACTTCCGTGGTGTCCGCTATCATCTTAACCGAGTCTCGGTAGGCGCATTTATCGCAAGCTTGCGCTACCAGCGTTTGGAAGCGGGATCTGATCTTTCTGGCTGATAGATATCCGGAGGCTGTGATGAATTCGACCCAGAGCGACATGGAGCGTTTTCTTCCGTCGCTTAGTTTAAGAACGGCACATCCGGGTAAAGTACCGTCGTCCACGAAGTTGAACACTCCCATTTGGTTTAAGTAGAGCACCACTTCGAATTCCCCCGGGGAAATAACTTCTAGTCCTTCGTAGCGACCGTTACACTCGGTTAGAGACGAGATGAACCGCGGTTCTTGTACTTCGACTTCTTTCAGAACGTCCTGAACCACTTTACACACTTCGCGGATGGTTTTGGCAATGGTGCCCATTCTGGTTTGTACGCGTTCGCCGTAGTATTTGTTGATTTGGTAGAGCATCTTCGATTGAGCGGCCAGCATGTCGGCCGGCACCAACATGGTCGGACTTACGGTGCCAACTAGAGTTGTCAAACGGGTAGTCGGTCGCAGGGGCGGGGAACAACGGTCGGATAACTAAGGGGGCGGGCCATAGACCACTCCCTCCTTGGTTTATCCTGGTAAGGATGTAACAGCGCGGGCGCGACTCTATCGACGCGTTTGCTGTTGCTCCGCCCTGAATTGCTGCAGCACTGTTGTTTTGTGGGAAGTGTCAAGAGTTGGGAAGTCGTTATACTGAGGGAGATTTATTGTCGTGGCTTGCTAGCGAGGGATGCGTTCCGTAGGGGGTTGAATTAAGGATTTTATATATTAATAAAGTTTTGAAATGGAAATTAATTTTTCCGACCTGGGGATCTTTGATTAAATAACCAGAAGGGTTTATTTATTAACAGCATAAATATGTAATAATTATGTTTTTTTTGAAAAAAAAACAAATTAGGAGAGTTAGTCTAGTGAGAATTTTATTTTCTGAATTTAGTGATGAGCAAACAAATACAAGACCAAGACTCCTTTAGGGATTAGGCAACGGCCTATAGCTACGTTGAAACACGAAGTATCCCATTAGAACACCGAAGTTAAGCGACGTAAGGCGATACTGGTGGATGGACGGGTGACCGGTTCGAAACTCTGTATCGTGCTGTTGTCCAAGGGAAAAGTGTAAAATCTGTTGATACACACTGCTCATACACGCCAGTTCGAGGCCGGATGAGATCGGATATCTCGTGAGTACATTGAAAAAAAGGATCTCTCAGTCGAAATGAATATGACTTTGACCCAAAAGATTAGCGCTTTTCAATAGGGCCAAGAACGACGTTTCTTTGCTCAAAGTATTAACTATCTTTTCATAAGCTTTAAAAAATTACTTTAGAGAATAGAAGAATCTATCTGTCCAAAGTATTTCACTCTTGACCCAAAATGAATATGCAAAGAAGTTCTTGCAACAATAGTTTCTTTGATTCATGCAAAAATTCTTGATTGAAAAGGGACATTTCTTGATTAAAGAGACACTTTTCTTAAACCAATAGCGAATACAATTGACCCAAGTAAAATTTATTTTGATCTAAGAGAAGTCGATACATCATATACAGGCACATTACGAGGTATATTATTTTCTGATAAATTTAGGTTTTCCTGGTCTGTAGCAAGTAAAGTGATATTATTTTCCACGATAGTAGTTATTTCTGCTTTTTCACTCCTTGGTATTTTTTGGGGTGGTTCATCACTCTACAAATTACAAAAAAATGTTACATCACGATTAATCAAAGTAAAGCAAATAAATTTTTAAAATCATAAACTTTGGTCACATTTTGAATTTTTTAATACGACGACTTGAAGTTCTAAAATTTTTGGAAATAATTATATTATATAATATATATATATATTATATATATATATATATATATATATATATATATAATAAATCAAACCAAACCAAACCCAACCCACTACCTTGAGATTGGTAGACCAGAGCCACCGAGATTGGTACCTCTACGCCACCGAGTACCATAAATTTGTTACATTATTTTCAAAATATCCATTCATTTCTAAACAATTTCCACCTCTTGATTTTTTTTTCATTCGACGTATGGTTTTTGCACAAAAAAATTAAAGTAATTTTAATCGCTAAAAATCTGATGCGATGATTGTTGTGTGTAAATCGTTTTTCCGTAAATTGGCTGGAAGGAAATTAAGAGATACAACTATATATGTTTTTGCATATCAAAAAATGCATTTTGATGCATAGAAGACATGTAGGTATCAGATTTCATAAAGATACCTATAACATTATTTTTATTATTATGAAAAAAAAAAAATATTTTAGAAAATTTTACCACCTCAAAAGTTAAGATGTTTAGAACATATATTCATATGAAGTTTTTTTCTTAGAATAGTTCCAAGATTCACCCCTTTAAATATTAGCATAACATTAAGGAACACCCTGTATATTACTATACAAAAGTGTATAATTTTTAATCAATTTTACATTTACAATTTACAAACATAACATAATAATATAAGTGAAAATTAAAAACAAACAAAAGTAATGATAGGGTAAGTCCGGTATAGTTGAACCGCTTTTTTTGCTCCTACTTTTACACTTCTATATTAAATTTTAGAAAGCGCCATCTAGCAAAAAGAAGTAACTATATAGTTATTGTGCAAGTATTTATTATGCAAAAATACAAAAATTCACAAAGGAAACTATGAGTGAAATTTAAAAAAAAAGTTGTATCGGTCGAACTATCCCGATGTCCTCGGGTTAGATGGACCAAGATATATGGGATAGATCGACCACTTTTTAAATCAAAAGTTATAAACTAAAAAATATACATTTTAATAAAAGTAAACGAATTTGCATCAAGAACTATAGGATACATAAACAACATTAATTTCTTAAAGGGACTTATTTAGGCACTGTTTTTAGAGGCGGTTTTGCCTCACCGGTCACACATCTGTGAATATTTCATACAACCTTCGTTTGACCATCTATCACATCGAGTGCACTGGAACCAGTCATCCTTTTTCCTAGTCACTGAGTAGTTTTCGCCGCAACCAGCACAATCGTTTTCATCCCATTCTTCGTCACCGCTTTCGCTGTCTTGCAAAATAATTTCACTCTCTGAGTTGCTATCATCACTATAATCTTCTTTTAATCTCTTTGTTATTGTTCGTTTCTTTTTAGCTTTTTCTTTGCTCGACTTGTTTTTTATTTCGGCCTTCTGTTTTTTTTGTTTTTGCAGCTCAATATTTTCTGGACTTGTCAAAACATTGGCTACTTGACGGGCACGCTTTCTAACCGTATTAACAGCAGATGTATTAATAACAGGCGCAATTTCATTCAGGGCCTTTCCTGGGGTAATTTCTGTTGTTTGGGCTTGTTGTTCATTTGGACAGTTTGGAGGGTTCAAACCATTGTAATCGGGATCTTTGGAGCAACCAGCAACTGGCGATAGTGTCTTGGAGCAACTAGCAACTGGCGATAGTGTCTTGGAGCAACTAGCAACTGGCGATAGTGTCGGAGCAATGTTTGGATTAGATGTTAAAGAAATTGCGTGTCTGTTGGGAATACCATCAGTTTGATTAGCAGAATTCGAAACTAACGTATCGCTTAAGTACGCATAATCTGGAATGATACTGGGATTAAACGGTAGGATTCCTGTGACTTTGAAGCCAGAAATGGCGTTTTGAACAGTAGCTGATTTGTTCCAAGCTTCTCCAAGTAATTTGCCGAATTGGTACCGGGTTATTTTCCTAGAAGGATTTGTTTCCATAAATCGGTTACACTCAGAATAATAATGTGATTTAAGTGATTTAAAGAACGACCTATCTAAGGGCTGTAGAAAATGTGTCGTATGGTTAGGCAGACACAGTAAAATAATTTCATTTGCTTCACAAAATTCTAATACTTCTACAGAGTTGGTGTGCGATGTGTGCCCATCTAAGATAATTAAGGCGGTACCAGCAGGCTTTCTTGGCAGGAAATGCTCCTCTAACCATTTCTTATTTCTTATAACAGCATTGATGTAAGCTGATTTCTCGTTCATTACAATGGCAGACTCTGGAGGCATTCCGTCCTTATTACATTCCTTAAGGTTTTTTCCTTTTAAAATACATAGGGGGTAGAAAAACACCTTCTGCACTGCAACATGCTACAATAGAAATGGTTTCCCCCTTTTCGCCAGAAGTTATGTTGGATACAGTTTTAGACCCTTTTTCCGCTATAACATACCCAGGTTTATTATTTAACTGTAGGCCACTTTCATCAATATTAAAAATATTTCCTGCCTTCTCAAATAATTGATATTCGGTTAAAACATTTTCAAGAACAGAAAAATACTCTTCCACTACGGTCTTATTCAATCCTACAGCACGCGCATTTGATACTCCTGCCTTTCTAACTGATAAATCTGCATGCCTTGATAAGAATAACTGCAACCAATCATACCCGGCTTTTTTCTTTATTTTATTAAAGTTGTGCTTAATTTTAAGTTTCTCAGCAAGTTCAAAAGCCATGCTTCTTACCAGATCACGATTTGGAGTAAAACCATACTTCTGCATTTTTTTAATGTGGGAAACTAACTTCAGTTCAGCTTCTTCATTAAGGCAGGACTGCTTCCCCAATGAACGTGACTTTGACGACTTTTGTAATTTTATTCTGTTTTTAAGCGTAGTTTTAGGTATTCTATATTCCCTTGCAGCTTGATTAACACCTAATGTACCCGTGGAAACAGCATTCATTGCATTTTGAAGGGCCTCTGCGCTCCAAGTAGCTCTATTGACTGTGCCTTTCCTTTTATAAAAAGTCGGCATTATGACTATCTAAAACAAAACAATGGTCTAACTAACCCAAAAAATTACGGTCCAACTAACCCATTTACATGGGTTAGATGGACCACCTTGTCAATACGGCCTAGTACTATTCAGCGATAAAAATATTAGGTTAAACTGTACTTTGTTAAGGTAGCAACAATCTACTATACAATCGGCAAAAAATACTTACATATATTTTTTTTACAGCATGTAATACTAAACTATAGAATTTTTTTTTATTACTAACATGTGCACACTAACTAAGCTTCTGTGTGACTGAACGCCGCCAGACAAACAAAAACAATATTTTAATATTTGGATTCGTCCAACGGAGGGGTGCCCGGGTGTAGATGAATAAAAAATTAAATAACACGTAGAATTTTGGCACTGGTCGATCTAACCCGATGGTCCAACTACCCCGGAATTACCCTACATAAAATGTTTAAAGCTTTTACTTTATTAAGTAAATTTTGATTTGAAGTTTGACTTCATATCATGTCATTTTAACAGAACGTTAACTGTTTATAGTAGACGTAGATATCTGCTAACACTAAAGTGTTCTTGTATATAGATATTAATTTACATTACAGTATTTAGATGATATTCTAAGTAGTTTCTTGGCCTTTGTTCTTTGTTTTTTTTGCTTCTGAGAACAGGAGGACATATACTTCCTGAAATAATAAGCATTTTTGTCGA